TGGATTCGAACCAAAGTTTCCCCAACAAACAGTGCTAGATGCTATGCCAACTAAGCCACGGAACGAACCAACGGACTTCACGAATTTTTCATGTGTTTGTTGTAGATCTTATTGTTTTTTAACATAGCGCCATCTGTGATAAATCTGTAAAAGTTTTATTTCACTTTTCACGAAATTTTTTTTTTTATATATAAACAGAATTTTGTCAGATTTGGCACCAGGTACATGGACTGCGTGGTTAACGCCACAAAAGTTTTTTTTTAATGCAATCTGCGAGTTCCTAAAAAAGATTACTATGTTCGAATTTCGAAACTGTATTACTACGAGTGCTACGGTTGCCACACAATTATAATAGTTGTTAAATGTTGAAGTCAAATAGAATTCTTTTTAAGGATAAAAAAGTTCATGCTGTTTAATATAATTGGTCGTATATACCTATTTTAAGTATGTATTAATAATAGTGCTATTTAATAAGCATTTGCTTTATATAACATCAATTTTAGGGGTTTAGCGACCAATTCGGTTTAGGTACTACAATCATCTCCATAGAGTTATTACTTCTGCGAGTCGCAGGTTTTCTTGAGAAATATTTACGCACATATTTATTATTTTGAAATAAGAAGCATACATTTCGCAAATAGAAAACCTTCGCGTGTGTCTTTAAACACGCATAGCACTACTTATCGATATAATTTAGACCTATTTATTTAGTAGCAATGGCGCTCCTTGTGCAAGAGTTCGTCGAGGGTAGTACTGCCACCTTACCTATTTCCGCCGCCAAGCAGTAATGTCAGCATTACTGTGTTCCGGTTTTGAAGGGTAAGGGTGCTGGTGAAATTACGCACATGGGACTTGTCAACGTATGTCTCAGGGTGACGGGCGCAGTGGCAGTGTCCCTCAGATATTTGCGATTTAAAGCTCTGAGTGGCACTGCAACTGTTATGGACAGGCGTGTAGATTACTATCAGGCGCACGACTTGTTCGTCCCGTCACTTGATATTGTAAAAAATACCTATGTATCAATCTAGAAGTATATATTTAGTTTATTGAAAAAAAAAAATGTAAAACGAGTTACGAAAGTTCTCGATGTTTCGAGATAGAGAATTCTAGAGCGTTAAGAAACATTCCGTGTGTATTTCAAATTTCGAATCCTGGCAACTGAAAATTCGCATCCTTCATGTATTAAGGCTACATCTGCAAAATGATACTTTTATTAGAGAGGTTTAAAGATTCTACGGTTTCTAACTTTTTTTGCTTAATGAGAGTTATAATATTTCAGATATATATAATTTGGGTCACGTACATAGATCGTACTATATTATATTGTGGCTACGATATGATATGAATTATTTGCCATGGCAACAAATATAATATGTAACAACAATGTATTTTGTTTGGACAACGACACTTTTGAATTAAATGGACTGGCTACTACATTTGCAATAATTAATATAAAGTAAGCTGATAATTGCGATATCGCGTCAGTTAGTTTATATTAACCTAAATTTGACGTTAAAATTGACTTGACTGATATTAATCCGTGAGGTGGAAACTTACATGCACCATAGACATACTAAATCGAGTAGCTAAGTAGTACATGTTATTCTTAGACGACCTCGGTGACCTGACGGGTTGCACTATAGGCAATGGATGCAGAAGTTCCGGGTTCAATTCTCAGTAGGATCAATTTGGGAAAAAGGTATTTTCTAACTGCCTCTGTGGCCGAACGGTAACCATACTGGTCTGCCATGCAGAGGTCCCGGATTCCCCTCGATTTCGGGCATTAATGGATGTTAACAAAGCGTCGGGTTAAAACCCGGGCGCTTGCCAATCCCTAAATAAGATGTCTTAAATAGCAATAATAATAGTGTGTCAGACAATTGCTCTAATTTATCTATTCTCAATTCCTTGTACTATCAATACCAGAGCTGTAAAATTAATTAACGCCCAGATTAGAACCAATTTAGAGAAGTTTGTCTCTCAAATTGGTTCTACCTCATTATCCAATGCTTATCAGTACTAACCGAGGTCAAAGCAAAAACAAAAAGATCTTCAAAAACATAACCGAAACGAAACTCAATTTCGCCCGTGTTAAATCGGAAGTGAGTCATTGATTAGAGTACTTACTACGCCCGTATTTGTTTCGAAGCTCAATTAAATTTCGTAAGTAACTAATGTATAAATATTGTGAATTATAGGCGGTACATGGCCAGTTGTATTGTTGGTCAAGGTCATTCTATATAAATCATATGTAATCACGACGTGCGAACGTTTTATGTTGTCGAATAGATTTATTCCGACCTTAGAATGTTTTTTACTTTCACTGATTTTTATGTTAGCCTAGTTTGGAAAACTGGCCTCTTGTGTAGGCGGTGCAGGGTTCCCACCTGAGGGCCTATCTGTACCAATGGTCACCTGCTTTAAGGCGAGGTATTTCAATGCCAGCCTACATTTTAGAGATATGAGGGGGAGTCCTTGCGTTCTGCAATTCGCGTATTGCAAGTTAATAAGAACACGCGAAGAAAATTTGACACACATCTGACGTTGACAAGCGTCCGATGGCGACTGACGGGGCAGCGGGCGACACGTCCGGCGTGTCGCTGACCGCTAGGCAATTTGCAAATTTCGGGATAAATGTGAATTTAATAACTAAAATGGCTTCAGTTGAAAACCAAAATTTAGCAGGTTCTCTGTAGTATAAAGAGTCCCAGGCTTAATTCCCGGGCCGGGAGAATATTTGTATGGCCTACATGTATTTCTCTCGTGAGTTTGGGTGTAATCTGTGGTTATTTATGTATATGTCCATGACAACGGCGACACAGGGTTTCCCTAGTGTGGGGCTATGTTGAGTGTGTGCGTTATTATTATTATATTATTAAAGTTACATATTTTGTACTTTTGCTTTAGCCTGTTTTCAGGATTTTATATGATCGGATAAAGTACATGTTATTGTGTAACACATTAGCACATTCTTTAGACAAATTCCTTAGGTGTGTTGTATATTTTTTGATCGTTATCTAATAGTAAATACCTAAACCATTTCACCTAGCAGTAACAGTTTTTACCGCTTCTCATCCGGTGACTCGCCATAGACTCGCCTTAATGATGAAATTATCTTGATTAAAATTAAAGTTCCTAACCGGCAACGGAGTAGCGTGGTAAACTTAAACCTAAACTCTCGAAGGACACTCGTGTTCACTTCTTTTCACTACTGTACAAGTTTCGCTGTATGGGGTATGATTGTTAAACGGTATGTCAGCGGTATTTTATTTTCCTCGCAGTAAGAGTGTGAGGGGGCTGCTGGCGTTGGTGGCGTTATTTCCTGTTGGATGGAATGTAGTAGTAGCCTCCGCAGCCTCCACAGCCTCCATACATCTTACTTAGTAAGTTTTGTAGTTCAAAAGTTGAAAGTCCAGTTTTATAGGTATTTATTCAGGTTTAACAATAATATTATGATCTTTAAAATGTAAACGGTGCAAATATAACTAGTAAAAGGTTCAAAAGATAGGATGAGGTGTTCGCTACTTCGATCGGGCAGGGAGTGACGATGAAACGAAACAAAATCAGAATGTGATGCAAAGAATGGAATAATTCAAAATTTGAATTTAAATACGAGTGTGAGAATAAAATAAGGAATTTAAATAAAAAGGTGGGATGACGATCCAAGGAGGTCACACCATCACAAGTGTAAGTCCGTGGCCTCTGCCTAATGCGATATGCAGTCAATGCCCTAAGATACTTACCTAGTCGACTTTCGGTTCTGAGAGCCTTCTTACGCATTCAACAGAAAAATGTAAAGGAATTGCAGCTTTTGGGCTGAAATTTGTATTTATTTATTGTAATCAAACATCAAATTGGCTTAAAAAGTTTGTTAATACGAAGTTAGGCTTAAATGAATTTCATGGTTCTCTGGTTAAACGTTAAGTTTGTTGAATTCCTTTCTTCACATTGATCTACTTAGAACCAAAAAAATGATATATAAAGTGTTTCTATGGGTGCAGTGCAAATTTTAACAGGTGATAGTTCCTGATAGAAATATTCTATTTGAAATCACTAAGGAAAATAAGCCATTTTTGAAGAAGGTATAAAAATTTGAAGAGAGAAAAAGTGAGTGAGAGTTGTCAGTAACGATAATCGACAATTCCAATCAAATTCTTAGATAGAGTTCTGAATTCAGAAATCAGAATACGAAGTAAGGTTCACTCATGACATAAGAGATCGGATAACGGAGTTCAAATTAACTGGGCAGAACATATTGCGAGGCGTGTTAATGATAGATGGAGTAAAGTGACAACCGAATGGTTGGTTCAAACCGAATGAAAAGTTTCATAAAATCTCTCTCAGATGTCGCTTGCGGTGCCGTAAAGCCGAAAACCCCATGCAAAGAGATCTATAACGGACACATAGAAGAAATTCGTCGACTTGGTAACTCGACCTATAGCTTAGTTAGTAAAATAATGGAGACGGAATCGATCTTTGTATTTAATCATTATAATAAAACTCGTGGAGCTTTTTCACAAAATAAAACAAATCAATAACCGAATGGTGGTCAAGAATTGGTTACAGAAACTCAGGAAGTCCTACAGCGAGTTGGGTAGACGACGTCGTTAAAGTGGCGGGTCGTAGATGGGTGAGACCAGAGCGAAATTGTTGTGGATAGTATAAATAACGGGTAGCCTATATCAGATGTGAGTGTAGATGATGTGGTACGAAAGTTTTGTATTGAACATTTCTTCTTTTTGCAAATGGAACTGCTCTCGGTTTTAAATCGCATATATTTGTTTTTTGAAACAAATAAACTTTTCGGGCCCTTTCCCATGGTCATGGCTGACTGAGATGATAAAGTCATCAACAATCATATCTAATTTATTAATCGCTTCTTTTTCATGATATTCGTTGACAGGTTATTTGATTTCATGATTCAGCTCCCAAGATTTGTTGTTGAGTAAAGAATATATCCTAAATGAGACATGTATACAGCATTAATAAGTTCGACTTACCAGGCCTCCATCTAGGAACACTGACAAATAGCTTGTTCCCCCATCGCTCGATACCAACAGGCAGGGCGTTCTCGGGTATGAGCTCTCCAGAATTGAGAGCTGCGATTTTGGATTGTTGATCAGGGTAAGCCCAGTCCATGGCATTCCAGGAGAACATCTCCTGGAGCTTTACTGCTGCTGAAGATATGGAGATCAGACCACATAAGATTATCAGTTTGAGCGCCATTTTTGAAATCTGAAAAGGAAATAGAATGGAAGTTTAAACGCACTGTTTTCGACAGTTATACAATAAAATAAAAAAAATAATTAAAACAAATACGTCATATTGGTTTATGACTGAGCTATACAGGACTATAGAGTACATATACCTCGTAATGTTTAAGAACACACCAAAATCTAACTAAGAGGTGTCTCTTCATTTTTGCTCAGATGTATAGAAATCAAAACTACAAACTACTTTTTAATCATCTAAAACATACATAATACATAAGGCATACCATTTATATGAGATATGTGAACGTGTTCAACAACATGATCTAGAATCAATCATGCCCGTTTCTAACGTTAAGCAGTAATTTGAGCATTACTGAGTTCCTATTTTGAAGGGTCAAGGTTCTGGTGAAATTACTGGCAAATGGAACTTGTCAGCTTATGTTGGAAGGTGGCGGACTGCAGCTGTTATAAGTAGATGTGACGCTTACCACAAGCCTCACCATTTATTTGTCCCGTCACTTGATAGCATAGAAAAATGTGAGAGTTAAAGGAGCTCTAGAGTGGGGACTTCAACCGCGCGTGTTGTCAAATTTAGACGGATCATTCATTTTAATTGCTTATTACAGCGACGAGTATTTGACCACAATTTGTTCGTTATACCACTAATTGACATAATTTAAAATTTTAATCGAAATGAATCATTTATACCGCAACACAGAAAGGAAAATTGTGAACCGAACTAGAAGACTTTTTCCGGCAAAATTGTAACTAAGTCCATTATTGATAAGGGTCATCCCTTTGGCTGTTTTATTGTATATCTATAAAATGACAACTTTCAGCAGAGTTAGTTATAGACTTATTTCGTTGGTAAAATATTAATAAGTTGTAGAATTTTACATATACATCATTTTGTTTCATGTAGCTCGCATTATTTTCGATTTTCAGCGCTTTTGTGAATTTATTTTACAAGGGTACGTTATTTAGAGGCAAAAAGATTCTTTTCAACCATGCTCGGAAATGCTTTTATTATTTTCAAAAAGATCACGGAAAGTTTGTCATTTGGAGGAGCGACTTCTTTCCGGCCAAGGCCTGCAGAATAAGTATGAAAATCCAGTGCTGTTCGTTGCTCTAAGCTTCTAAATCGATCTACTATTGAACTATGTAAACAAGCAAAAGAAAAACTCATACAGCCAACTGCTCAGTGCTCGTTTGCTATTGCTATTTTTTACTACTGTGCCTGGAAAAGCAATAACATTTTCGTTTAGCAATTGTCTTAATATGTCAAATATTATTATACAGGGTATCCTAGTTTAATACTAATTACTTTTTCCATTATACATATTCCTCTCTTTATTCTTTTATTATTTCCTTACATTGTTTGAGAAAAGCACTATCCCTCGGCGGCACCGTTGATTGCATGACTCGTATTAATACAAGACCTCTTAATTTCTATGAAATATTCTAGTATATGTGGCAATTGGTCCATTTACGATCGTAGTTACCACAATTCAACCTCTTTTAAGCGTTCCTCTAGACATGTCCATGTCTCTTTTTTTTTGTCTTTTTTTAATAACATATAATTTATATTTTCAAGTATATGTGCAAATACCTATTAAATTGTGTTATTGCGTTTATTCCCATTTTGAAATGTTTATTTATTTTTTCAATAATTCAAAAATTCGAATTCGAATTCGAATTCCAAAATTTTGGAAATTAAACTTTAACATCTTACTAAAATTATTAATTCAACACTTTGTTTTTAATTGCTATACAGGTGTAACATTTAAGGTCAATCAGTTGCTTTTAAGTCTTCAATCTTATGATTGATAGTGATCAGCTCATTTTGAAATGAACGGCCTCCTGTGCCAGTGCCGTGTAGTACAAGTGACAAGGCTCTGTAACAAGCAGTTTGATTAATAATTACATGATATCTTGACACGTGTTTTTTGCACTAGACGTCACTTTTATCATGAAGGAACATAGTTACTGAGAGGTTGACGGTTATAAACACTGCCACGGCGCCCACTATGATTTTGATTTGTTAGTTATTTGTTAGCGAATTACAGGTGAAATTACAGGATTTGTTAACTTATTATTATTATTATTATGATTATTATTATTATATTATATTGTATATTTATAGAATATAATACTATATTTATATTGTATTTAAATTTATTTTTTTTGTTATCACTCTTTTTTCCAATTAAGTATACATGTAACTTGTTAATATAGATTTATAAATATTGATCAGCATTTCTGGAGGTGGAGGCCTGGTGACCTAAAATACAGGGTATCCTAGTTTAGGCTCCAGCCTCTACAAATTTTCCTGTCATGTTTTTTACTTTAATATCTCTTATGTTTACTTAAGTTGTTACAAATTTGTGGAGGAAATAAAGAATTTACTTACTTACTTACTTACTTACTTACTTACTTACTTACTATGTCTCAGTGCAACATGCTTACGACTTATTCCTCCCGGGTGGAATAAATGAACTTTCTACATCCATTGCGTTCTTAACACAAGTGTTGGCGTATGGACGCTTATAAGAGTAGAAATCGATTTCAACAATTTACGCAAAGAAGGAAATCCGACCACGTTTTCCATCCATCGTTTAGAATTTTTAAATTATTAATTAACTATTCAAACATTGAAATGTACTTCCCGGATTTAGTCTCCAATTGTATTATGTTGAACATATAATTTGAAAGGTTTCGGTTTGGTAACTGGTAGAGGTCAATGACAACCTAGGTCTTACTTAGTCTTTGGTTCGATAACCAGTACTATATGTAAGTATAAAGATTTAGTTATTTCACCTTTGTAAACTAACTTCAGTTGTCACTTGGTTAACCGGTCAAATACAATATTCAGTAGTGAGTTCCATACGTCATATTATTGCTGTACTCTCTATTTTGGTCACATGTTATTAGCTGTCATCTTTTTAAAGACTGGTTTTTAGGTTGTTTATCGTGGGAAAGTTGTATGTGCTATTAAACATCTTTATTTAATTAGAATAATTTTATATTATACATTTAGTATAATTTTACATAGGTAGTTTGAAATGTTGTTTTTACTTGAAAATATTATCATATGTTTAGAACCATTTTCAAAAAGTTTATTACAACTTTACAATAACTAACCAAGTAATGCCTCATAAAATACTTCATTGCGGTTTGTATTTGTATTAAACCTTTGTAGTAAAGACAGCAAGCACGCTTACGTCGATTTGAATAATGAGAAGTTCAGACATCTCTTCTTTTTTTCTTTGTTAAAGTTCAAATATTACTTCCATAGTATAATGTCCTACGGGATTCTCATGCGGGGTAAAGCGGCAGATATCTACAAACCATATTTGTGTTGCAAAAACGAGCGATTCGTTTTACGTACCGTTTAGGTTTTCGGGTTTCTCTCAGAGAAAAGTTTAAGGAGACTGGTATCACGATTTTGTATACTCGTAAAAATGTACATCATTTCATTAGGAATAAGATATCCATAATATTAATCTTAGACCTAAGTCCAAACTCATGGTACCACGACTTCGTTTAACTAAGATAAACGATTTACAATAAGATATTTTTACAATAAGATTCCGGAGCATATGTTAAGATTATCTTTTCCAAAGTTTGAAACTTACATTAAAAGTAATTGAGTTGAAAAGTCATGTTATAAAATTTAAGAATATGTTAGATAAAGATGTATGGAAACACAACGTCAGTCTAGATTCCACACAATTATGATTCTAAGTGTATTCCATAGCATTTAAGTTTATTTTAAAAGAGCATGCCTTGAGTTTCTTGGTCGTTCTTCTCAGACAGGTCAGCGTAGTGAACGAGCAGTTAAAAAATGACGTTTTCAAGTGTAAAATATTTTACTTATTTAATTTTTATTTGACTTTGACAGATCCATTTGCTTTGACGAAGAAAGATAAACGAGTCGGTATCATAATACTATATCTTCAAAATGACCTGGATCAGCATAAGGACTAAATCGCAAAACAACCCCCTCTATACAAAGACTATAACTTACAATACAAACTACAAGATATCAAAATGACCATATCGTTAAATGGAGTGTATGGTAAAACGACAAGGTAGCAAAATAACTAGATTTTGTTATTGGTTTTTCAAAGTACACTTTCGTTAAACATTTAGTATACTTATCATGGTAAAAAAAAATGGAACAAAATTTTACTTGCACTTTTGCATTGTAAATAGTTTACTAAACCATTTGAGAGAAAGTAACGCTCCGATGCTGAGTACGGGTCTCCTCTAATAAACATGGTCTAATTGAGAACTACATTCTGTACGGCTAGCACGACATAGAGCGCGAGATACTGCTAGTTCTGCATAGAGAATAGCAATATTTCCCGTTTTTATGTTGTTCTCGCGCAAGTGGCGCGCTGTCATGCTAGCCCAATTGCAGGGACACGATTCAACGATTCAAATTCAAATGCAAGTAACTATTTCGACCGGGTGTAAATATTTTTTATACTAATCCGCAATAAAACACATAGTTATTAATGAGTTGATAAAAGCCGTCTAAATGTATGTTCAGTTACGGAATGAGAACGACGGTTTTGACTTACTGAACATATTTATTGTATTTAGTTTTTAATGCCAATCGACGTAGAATGGAATTTTGCATGCACTGGAAAAATCTCTTATTTCAACATTTGATGTTTTAAAACACTTGTAGAAATATGTGCTAAAATCTTAGACTTCAATTTTGGTGCGAAAACATACTAAGTTTATAGCGGAAATACATTCGATATTTTTTTCTAAAGTGCACTTTTTAAGATAGGGGATATCGGTGCTTTTACATATTAGGCACCTCTTAATTTCACCCTTATCTAGTTCTTGATGCGCTGTACATAAATATCAGCGTAGGCTTTGGTCTGTGTACGCTTTAGTGCAATTTGCATTTGGTTAAATAAATACCTTCTGAAAGTGGAACAGGAAGTTCTTACTGTTTTTAATAATAATAATGTGCCAGGCAACCACGTCAATTACCTGGTCTCAAATTAAGGTATTCCCTGTGCCATGAGTACCAGAGCAACGAAGTTCACTCTGGGGCTCTTCACAGAACACCCAGGCCAGAAGCAATTTAGTAAAGTTCATTTCCCAATTTGGTCGCACCAGGAATCGAATCCGGGACCTCCTTATCCAGTGCCCACGGTATAAGCCGTTGGGTCAACGAGATCGTCAAGTTTTTTTGAAGCATATATAAACCCACTTCCAAATTCCGCCCTTACCTATGCACATGTAAGATAAATTTTAAGATTTGCGAGGTTATTTCGTAAGATAATAAATAAATATCACAATCAAAATAAGACCCAGATTTGAAAAGATGATAATTAAGATAAGGAGTAACGATTGGTAATAAGATGTTGTGACAAACCAAACTAGATCTGGGTAACTCGCTTAATTCACGTTATTTCATCTAATTAGTCACTTGAGAATAGTTATTTCTGTTTGAAATTTCTTACCAAGTGAAGAAACTGTTCTACTGTTAGGTTTTACTCAAGTAACGGTAATTGAAAAAGATTATTGAAATTGACATTTAGGAATATTTTTAAATGTGTGTGAATTAGGTACTTCAGCATCGAACATTAAAATATATTTTTTAATATTTTTAGGAACAACAATTTGCTTTAAAAATACTATTTTGAAGTCGGATGGAGAGACATTTGCCCGGCATATTGCGGGCTAACAAAATAAATTATAAAAAAATTACTGAATATGTATATTATAAAAATAAACATTACCTCTAAGATCGTAAAGTGTTCATTTGATTAACTTGTCACGCATCCTATACAAACACGGTGTCTCTAACGCGCAGCTGTGTTTTCATCCACCATTTAAAAAAAAAATTAAATTAAATTAATTTTAATTATTATATATATAATTAATTTTAATTATTATATATATAATTAATTTTAAAATTAATTTTCATTTTTATATTGTCAATACCGGTAATTATGTTTGTATTATAATATTCATATACCAAATATACTTTCAATATGTTTGTGGCATACAAAATGTTTGGCCGGACACAGTGAAACTATACCTACTCATTTTGTACATGTCAACTTACATATCTAACCTGTGTTTTCACAAATAAATGAATTATTATCATTATTATTATTATAAAAAAATATGTAAATTAAAAATAAATATATAAATTTTTTACCAAAATTGTTAGAGACACTGTGTATATAAAGCAGTTAAAATTTTATGTTGAAATATAGTTAAGATATTTTTGAAGAGCGATCACAATAAAATTAATTTTAATTGCTGTTGCAACACTATTTTTTTAAAGAAAAATAAAATCACAATAAATTCGACAATGAAATAATAAAAAACTCAATCACTTCGATAATAGTGCTACATGTAAATTAAAAACGATGTATATGTTCTACGCACTGGACATTTGACGCGTACTGAAAACATATATACGTTTAAATTTATAACGAGAATAAATTTCTAATAATTAATATTTGGTATATTATCCTAAATAACAATTGAATATCAAACATTTCACACACAATGAAAACAATTGCCAGCACTATAACACAAATCGACTCTACCTACAACACTCGTGTATGCACAGAACATAACAAATTTTCCACGTTAATTGCAAATAATTGTTAAAAGCGGCTACGTACATTGGGCCAGGAGCCGGCAAGCAACAACAACAACTTGAGGGGTATTGGATAAAACATACCCACCCTGTTGCTTTTAAAACTGTACTTTCAACTCTTGTTGGTGGGTGGAGTGGAAAAGTTCGCATAGAGTCAGGAAGAAATAGAGTGGACACAGTCCCATATCTTCTATTGAGTTTTGATTATAGTGTCCTCCCAACTTAACATTTTGGTTACATGGGAAGGGCATTATCACCTGTAATCTTGTGTAGCAAGAAAGCCTAGCAAGCCTGCACGGGGATCTTATCAGTCAAGCCCTGAGCCTAGATCAGCCCGTAGACACAGGTAGTAAGTGGTAGACCGTAGTGCCTTGGGTGGGCACCCTAGGGTGCGCTTATGGTACCCTGCCTATTTTGCTTTTGCTTTCCTTGTTATGCGGAAAGGGCATTATATACTGTGCGTGCACAACCTTACAAGTTCAGGTTCTGACTCCAAATCAGTTAGTGTAAAGGGTTGTCACAGATCGTCGTCACTTGACTTCATCCGGTTCTCTAGAGACTAGTGCCTCGAGTGAGCCACCCCGGGTACACGTACAGCACCTTCCTATTGTCTATATAGGTACCGTAACTGTTGGCTCATCTCCCGATGTGTGTTGTACAACTACTAGTGGTTGCCACCGCTAAGCCGTTGACTCTAAAGTCAACTACCAAATTTCTGCTTTGGCAGAGGAGTCGGCACGCTCACCTACCGACGTCGAAGTGTCTTTCCAAGGAATGCGCAGGCCGGACTATATGTTACAAGAAATTCTGAACGATGTACCAGGCACAGTGCTAAATGACAATGAGGTTGATATCAAGTCAAGAGACACTATCTTGGTTTGTAGTATAATATCTATGGCACTTATTTAAATGTAAACATATATTAGAACTAGTTAACATTACAGCAAATCGTGTCCAGTTTGTTAGCTAATCGCTAGGGGTTAAACCTGAAATTGAATAAGTTAAGAAGAAAAAAATCGAAAGGCGGCTGGAGGGACTGGAGGATATCTAGCTTATCCTCTACTAGTTACAGAGTAGACACAGTGGACTATATTGATGGCTAAAGGCAAAAAACTATAGACAGTGCTCTTAGTTTCAGAAATCATATAGTCTAGATTGTGTGGTTTTATTACTCGACAGATGAAAATACTGAAGGAGCCTCAACTCACCGTAATTATTTACAACTCCTTAATACGAAGTACCCTGGAATGTTCTAGTCCAGTATGGAATTCAGTTTACCAGGTCTATTCCAATAGATCGGAGCTCGTGCAGAAGCAAATCTTGTACCACTTGGCGTAGTCTGATAACATGTGTAAACAGCTTCTCTCTTATCAGTCGCGTGTCACCAATTATGGTCTTTTTTTTCGTATTCATGTGCAGGAAAATTTCAGACATCATGTTTTTATATAAGTTAATCCATGGTCACATTGATTCGCTGGATATTTTGGAGCATGTCTAGTTTTCTCTCCGTCGGACAGGTAGCCGATTACAAAACCGGGAAATCTTTGCTCTGCCTGCATGTAAGACAAGACTCGGTAATCATTCTCCTCTGTATAGAATATGTAGCGACTATAATTGTATTCAAAATGTTTTCGATATTTTCGGTGGTTCTGTGTCCTCAGCCAAACGGTGTATACGTAAAATTAAAAAAAGTTATCAAACACTTTTTGTGCATTTCTTTTTTGTTTTTAAATATCTAATTTACATTCTTCATTTGCTTTTTTTTATTTAGTTTCTAAACAGAAATTCAGATATCCGAGTCCAAATTAGTTCGTAAGAAGATTTACGTGAAAATTATATGCATGTTGTGCTTACATCTAGTAGGTTCCATTGTATTCGAATTGTATTTAAGCATGTCTCATTAAGAGACTGATAACTCTGTAACAAGTTTTGTAAGCCAAATAAAAAGAAAAACCTCGTTTATTTGGTGAAAAATGCACTCGTATGTTATTTATGACCTCGTTGGCTAAGTGGTTGCTAGGCCGTAGGCGATAGGCGCTATATACATATATAGGCGTGAAAGTTACCACCAACCACCACCAATTTTTATATGAATATTTCTAAACTGAATCTGGTCTGGGTGTTGCCTTGGAGTTAATTCCGTTGCTCTGATACTCGTGGTTCAAGGGAATCCTTAGTTTGAGATTTGTGGAGTTATTTGGTGGGGTTATCTAGAATAAAAAATCTGACACTTTGTAAGTTACTCAATTTAAGCTCAAAAAAGCGTCTTTCAAGTTTTTGACTGAATAAATAAATAAAATATGTATTAGTCAAAATTAAATACATACTTAAGTATCAGGAAATGAAAGAGCCAGACGTAATAATATTTATTTATTTATCTTACATAATGTATGACAACATGAAAATATTTCACGTTATCGCCTTTTGTAATTATAATTGTAAAGTCGCTTATGAGTTAGTGAAGAAAATATACACAAAACTGACAGAAAAAAAAAATCCTTGCACAGTGCAACATATTACAAATAAAAGAAAAAGAGTTTTAGTTGGTTGTTCTATTCTACGTATATTCAAGTCTATGGTGTAACCCACGCACAGTAGCTGCGTGTAGTGGTGACGCTCGAGTTGCGCGTGCGCAGCGTTACCCAGTGACCTGCATTAAATCATTCACAGTCGTGATTCACAGTGTGCAGTGATTAGTATAGTTTAAAAGAATATTTTGACGACCTTGGTGGTCTATCGGTTTTTCGGGTTCAATTTCGATTTGTAGTACCAGTAAAGGTCTTGAAAGAGTTCGTCCACGGAAGGACTGCCACCAGACCCATTTCTGCCGCCAAGTAGTAATGTGAGCATTACTGCGTTTTGATTTTGAAGGGTAAGGATGCTGGTGAAGTTACAGGCACCCGGGACTTATGTCTCTGGGTGACGGGCGCTGTGGCAGCGCCCCTATGATCTTTGCGATTTAAAGTTCTGAGCGGCACTGCACCTGCTATAGACAGGCGTGTCGCTTACTAACAGGCGTGTCGCTTACTAACAGACGCACGACTTGTTCGTCTCGTCCATTAGTATCATAAACAAAAATCGATTTCCAGTAGGGAAATTAATTTTGTTTTACTGTTTTTTTTTTATATATAAAACAATTGCGCATTGGATCCCTATTCATCATCGTCATCGACCTCATCATCACTTTCCATCATCTCAGTTGATGACGGAGCATGCACATTTAAGTAATGCCTATTCACTCTCGCCTTGAAAAAGCCTAAGTTATACCGTTCAGGGAACAAGGCTGCAGGCAGCGAATTACACTCCATAGGCGTTGGCCATATAAATGTTTTAATAGTAACAATAAGTGGAATTAGGACATTTATTTGCCAAGTTTTATTGAAATCGGTTACCGGAAAGTGCGCAAAACCGAATTCATCCCTTAGTTTGCCACCCTTAGAGGTGGTATATTTTCTTCAAATTTAAATAGGACCAATTTTGAAGTATTCTCTTTCCAACAAAAAAAGAATCTCGAGGTCTTCGTTTTCGCGATTGTTACACATAGGAAATGAAACTATTTTTCCGGAAAAAAAGTATGTTTACAATCAGTTCACTAATCCGGAGTTCACAAATCGGCCGGAGCTATCGCGTAACTTGCATAAAAATAACAGTCAAATTAAAAACCTTCTTTTTTGAAGTCGGTAAAAAATATTGCAACTGCCATTTTGTTAAATTTCAAAAGTTGGAAATTCGTAAAATTCTCGAACAAAATTGAGTCCTTTATACATATATATTACAAAATACAAGATCGTCGCCACGCTTTCCTCAAACTCATATCTTAAAGCACAAAGTTACTGTAATGCAAAAAGTGGATTGTGTATACAAATGTTGCAGGCTGATGTCATATCACATTTACTTCATATTTACACACTGGTTTTTACTTATTCTTAAAGTAATGCATCCAAATTAATACACCTGATAAGAAATTTAAAATAAATAGAAAGTATTGCATCTCCTGAATATCACTCTTTATACGATAAGAGTTTGAGAAAGCAATGCGTCGAAATGCTTTAGCGAAATGCGAAAGGTCTATAAGTAGTTACATTTCATATATAATAACGAATTCCTTGGTGAGAGCTGGAGTCTGTACTAGGTTGGGGTCCTGTGTTACAGACCACCAGGCTCATTCCCTCCAGGTGTATAAAGAACTATATAAGTTGATGAGAATGTCTTTCACTGGTTTTCATCATAATAAAAATTTTGCTTCCTGCAAACATAGGTAGTCTTACATAAATATACCGAGTTTGGTAGCGTTACCTAGTAGCGGCGTATGAGAGTTGCAACTTGCTACGCGTCAGTGATCATGGAATTTTGAGAATGTGCCAGTCTTCACGATTTGTAATCATATTAACGCTCCTTTGGACGTCGTGAAACTTCATCATGCGTCCATAATCCGGTATAGTTTGCTAAAATGTCACTGACCGTCTTTTTTTTATACTACCAACGGGACAAACCAGTCGTGCGCCTGGTGGTATACGACACGCGTATCCATGACAGTCGCAATTTCACTCAGAGTTTTAAATCGCAAAGATCTGAAAGATACTGCCACTGCTCCCGTCAACCTGAGACGTAAGTTGACAAGTCCCATGTGCCTGTAATTTCACACCCTTCAAAACCGAAACGCAGTAATGGTCACATTACTGCTTGGCGACATAAATATGTATGGTGGGAGTACTTCTGAACCTGGACGAACTCTTTCAGAAGAAGCTCCCCCTCTAACAAACAATAATCATCGAAATCTGTTTAGAAGTTTCGGAAAAAAATACAACAGAATAGAGAACCTCCATTTTACAATAAGATTCCGGAGCATGTATTAAGTTTATCATTTCCTAAGTTTAAAAACTACATTAAAAATATTTTGATCGATAAATCATATTACAAAATTGAAGACTACGTGTTAGATAAAGATGTATGGAAAGACGACATGGCTCCAGAATCCACACAAATTTGATTCAAAGTGTATTCCATAGCATTTTAGTTTATTTGAAAAGAGCGATCACTATAGTTTCTTGCTAGTTCTTCACAG